TTCTTTTCACCCTGTAGGTTTGGATTCTCGTTGAGATGCAAACACAACCAGAAGGGACAATACTGAAAGCATCGGGAATTTTCAGCTCAGAGCAACTAAACTGTAGATCATTTTGTGAAATCAAGTTCAGTTAAGATAGGGGTTCAGAATCTCTGGAGTGCTATTAAAAAAAAAAGCGCCTACCTTGTCCTGACCCTTCAACATTATGATTTAGTAGGCTGAGAATGGAACTTGGGAACCTGGAATCCCAAAATGCCTGTTCAGCAATTCTAAGATGCACCCCACCTGAGAATCCCTGGGATGAGGGTTGGAGTGGAAACAAAGAGGCCAATAGGTTGGGAAGATTTCATCACAGAAAGAGCACATCTATTTTACCTCCTTCCAAAAGGTGGCCCCATGTGGATACGAAGTTCTACCCTGTCACCAAGGCAGTATGGACTAGGGGTATGGTTCAGTGCTAGAGCACTTGCCTAGCATGCATGAGGCCCTGGGTTAGATCCCTAGAACTTGGGGGGGGAGGGGACGGGGGAGGGGGCGGGGGGTGGAGCTTCAAGAAGTGTGAGGCCTTTGGAAGCTGGGCAGTGGTTCAAACTCAGTGGGAGTGGGCAGAGTCCAGGAAGAGGAGCCAGGTAGGAACTGGAACCTGCTGAACTGACCACCATGGAACTGGAGTTTTGTGGTTGATACTACAGGAAACTCAGCATTTCTCTCCTCTAATCCCCTCAATGTACAAGTGAGGAAAGGTGGTTAAGATGGTTTAGATGTTCCCTGTGTTGTGTAAGTAGAAGTTATTGGCAGAATCTTGACCAAATCCAGGGGAACCCAACATGCTTTCTTCCCGAAGGGAAGGAATCATGGGTGGGTCTGGCCTTAAATGAGTTTGTTATAATAAAAATTTTGCAAAACAATGACACAAACAACCACCCAGAAATTCAATGGAAATAACAGGTGAATGTGAGATACAGACACCTGAAGTGAGTTCTCTGAATAATAACATGAAAAAAAAAATTGGAAAATGAAAGGTATAATGAGATACACACAACTGAAGGGAATTGTCTTAAATGGCTGATTATAATGAGATGTACATAAATTGTAAGGCTTGTAATGAAATGAAAAAAAATCATATTCTTGCCTGATAAGATGGGGTGTAATGTCTACACCTGAAATAAGTCATCTCAGTGTGCTGCGTGTAATGAGATGCACATAATTTTAAAGAGTGTAATGAGATGAAAAATAAATCAAACACTTGTCTTAAAATGAAAGATGTACTAAGATGCACACACCTGAAGGGCATTGTCCTAAATGGGTTCAATTTAATGAGATGCATTTAATTTGCAAAGGGGATAAATGAGATTGGCCCAGAGAGAGTCTGAGAAATACAAAAGTATAAGATACACTTGAAAGTGGTATAATAAAACCTGCCTCATCTATGGAATGGAAATAAGATGCCAAAGTGGGAATGCACAGTATGATGCGATCAACATTCTGGCAGTCCTTGGTTCTCTATCCCTTGGCCTGTGATGCTTTGTAAAGTTGAATTATCTTTTGACCCTAGGTTGATGCCAGGTATAAAATAGGCACCTATGAAACTTCATTGAATGAATAACTGGCTCAGGCATTGTAGTCTACGTGGAAAAAGGAACGATATAAGGAGGAATCATATAGCAAGGAACTTCAAAAGGCAACGGAAAATCATTTTCTGTGAGCAATGTTCTTGGGAACAACACTGGTGATGGGATCTAATCTGCATAGATAAAAATCACCAAACTGGTGATTTTTAGTCTCCCAGGCTCTTGATTTCTTCTAGGGGTGAGATGGGCAGGTAACGTATGTGCATATAGTTGGATGGGAGACAGGTAGACTTTGCAACAGAAGGTAGGAATATCATTTCTATGATTATGTTCTTTCCAATATTTTGTTTCAAAGTCAGACTTCTCTTGGACTGTCTTCTTGTTATGGTTTGGACATGAAGTGTCTCCCCAAAGCTCCTGTTAATGTAGAAGGATTCCAGGTGAAATGATTATATTATAATAGCTGTAACCTAATTCGTAGATTAATCCATTCTATGGGTTAATAATTTGAATGAACTAACTGGGTGGTAACTGTAGGCAAGTAGGGCATGGCTGGGGGAAGTAGGTCACTGGGGGCATTCCTTTGGGGTTTATACTTTGTCTCCAGTGCCCTCTCTCTGCTTCTTGGCTGCCATGAGCAGAGCAGCTTTTCTGTGCCATATCTGCCATATCTTTGCACCATAATGTTCTGCCTCACTTGGGCCCAGAACAATGGAGTTGGACCACCACAGACTGAACCTCTGAAATCGTGAGCCAAAATAAACTTTTCTTCTTTGAAGTTGTTCTTGTTGGGTATTTTAATTACAGTAACAAAAAACTGACTAACATATTTGTTTTCTCATTTTTAAAAATAATTTTTAGTTGTAGATAGACACAAAGCCTTTGTTTCATTTATTTATTTTTATGGGGTACTGAGGATCGAACCCAGTGCCTCACAAATGCTAGGCAAGCGCTCTACCACAGAGCTACAGCCCCAGCCTTGTTTTCTGATTCTTGAAGAAGTAATAGGTTTAGAGAAATATGTCCCTTCTTAAAAACAACCACTTAGATATTTGAGGGGGAAAAAGACCCCTCTTTTTTAATTTTAAATTTAATTTTTTAATTAATTAACCAGCTAACCAAGTAGGGAGAGCCCCATAATAAATGGCAGCCTCAGTGTTGGGAAGACCACAGGGGATGATGAATGTCATAGCCTGGAGAATATGCTTTAGGGGGCAACTAATTATTCAACCACATTCCATTGTGGCTGCATGGGAATATAGTTCCCCAGAGTGCCTGATTGCCTGATTTTTCAACAGAAATCAAGAATCTGATGTTTTTAACATGCAGTCTTCAAACCTTTAAATGTTGGTACAAAAATGTTAAAAACAATGTATGGTTCAGACAAAACATGTCTGCCAGCTAAATTTGACTTGAACATCATGCTTGACCTGAGACTCTCTTATCTGCAAATTTGAGTGAAGTTGGAGGTTACTAGGATGAGATCTGGTCCTAGTCATTACAGGAATACCACAAACAACTTCAGTTCCAAACTTCTTCCACTAGAATGTAAACTCCCTGAAGGCAAGAACTTTGATCACAGTTGTACCATTGGTGTCTAAAACAGTGACTGAGACAGAGTTGAACGTGTGTTAAATGAATGTTCAAGCCATGAGGAGTAAGAAGGAGAAGACTGCAGGATGATAGTCTTTGCCCTCAATGGGCCCCATACAAGGCAGCAGAGGGGCTCTTTGGTAGAAGATATATATAGCTCTGGTCATCCACTCCCATGAGCAGTTTCTCCAAAAGTTAAAAAGTCTTTCCTGATGGACAGGGATCAGGGGCAGAAATCAATCTGAACAGTTTCCAAGACACTAATACGAAGTTCCATTTGGGGCTGAAGGAACAGCACCCCCCCCACACACATACACTGTCCCCCCATCCTCTTTCATTACCACGGGGATTATGGAACATCTTCTTCTTGGGTTAGGTAGCATTTTAATCATGATGCAGAGACAGGGTTTGGTGCTTCTTCAAAACAAAATTACCCATGTCTCAAATGATTTAGAAAACCCTTTTTAGTTGGCAGCATGGTTGAAAAGATGGCAGAATGGGATAGAAAAACTTAGGAATGGAAGGAGAGGGAGAGGCAGGCCACTCTGTAATCCCTGGGGATAGTATTCCCTGAAGTGTTTTGCTGAATCCCTGTATAACTTGATATTACTTGAAATAAAGCAGGGACAGGGAGGAGATACATCTGGGGAACAGCTGAAACAAAGATAAATTGGTTTCTTTTCTCCAGAACTTTTGTAAAATCTCTACTATACTAATGTGCATTATTAAATTCTACTAGGAAAATATATTGTTCCTTAATAATACTAGGCTAATTTGACCATGGAATTTTTTTTTCTTGGTAGTGTATCTTTTAATACATGTTCTTTGAAAATCACTGCTTTAAAAGACTAGTTTTATGGATGCTGGGAGGTGAGGTTCTAATGCATTATCTTTAATATCTTGATGTTCTTATTTGCCCACAGAGGGGCGCTTTGCTGAGTTTGGAGAACCCTGTCTAGGTGATGGGAGTGTAGGTTGGTGTTGCTGCTAGGCTCTGTGAGAACAGTTCCCCAAGGAACTTCCCAAAACTGCTTGGGGCCCTTTTGTGTGTATAACCATCCCCTTCACCATCCTTGGCCTGGCTCTAGGAGACCCCCAAGCATATGCACTCTGCAGCCTTCATAACTATGAACAAGAAACTCCCCTTCTGCTTCGAAGTAGATCGCCCTAGACATCTTAGTAAGAGTGCCTAGGTAAGGAGAACTCTAGTCTGAGATCGACTAGAAAACCTGCCTCTCACTTATGTGGGGGGAAGAGCTCTCTCTGAACTTCTTTCCCCAGTGGATACAGCATAACAGGGAAGGTCCCCCGCCCCACATACACACACACACAATTCAGAGGTTAAAGCTGTAGTCGAGACTGCATCTTCTTCCCGGTTCCTGGGACTTTTCACCTGTGGGATAGGAAAAGGACATGTGAAGTTGCTGTGTGGTGCTGTGGTAGTACCAGCTCAAATGGTGAAAACTCTCAGGCCTAGGACTACAAAGTCCTTCGAGGGAGGTAGAGAGCAATGGAAAAGAAAGACCAAATTCAGAGCTTTCACTGCAGTGGGGGAAAATTGCCAGGAGAGGGCAGAATAGAGCTTTCTTCTGTCTTCTCTAATTTCTTTGTTTCAGAGCTAGACTCATACAAGGTAAGTGGGCCAGATTTGGCCATCTTTCTGCTCAGAGTGGTTAACTCAGGTCATCCAAAAAGCACTCTCCTTTGTCCTTTTCTGTGAGTAGTCTGCTCAGTAGGATTGATGCAGAGACCTCCAAATTCTTTCTGACTCTGGTTCCACTAAAGGAACAAGGGACCTCTATGGCAGCTACAGAAAAAGAGAATTGCGAACCAGAATTATGGTAGGTAATAAGATTTACTGAAAACTTCTCGGCCACATTCAGTACTGGTTTGGTGGATACATCAGAAGGAGGTTGCATAACATTAGGCAGGTGGAGGGGGCTGGAGGAAATGATGTGGGCACCTGTGTGTGGGTGTGCCTGTGTGGGGTGGGTGGGATGCTTATCAAAGTGGTAAGTGGAAGTGTGTGTGTGTGTGTGTGTGTGTAAGAAAAATGAACCAGAAGAGGAAATGTATTTTTATCCCACTGCACATTGCAAAAGTCTCACGCCAAAAAAGCTAGACTTTCCTCTACCTATGGCATCAAAAGGGAGTAAAAAATGATTGGATCACCCAGATTATAAATAAGGTTATTTGTTTCTCAAAAATCCCTATTAAAACATTAAATATCAGCTCTTTTGGGGGAGAAATACATTCATTTCAGGGAGACCTCAGGAAAGCGACTATTCTTTTGCTCCACCCCAACCAGGTAGGGGAGGGGAAGCCCCAGAGGGCCCTGAGGGTCCCCTCCAGTTGAGCCAGGTAGCCGCTCACATCCTGCCACTGAAGGAGATGGCTAATGCACAATTTACAAATGAAACTGCACGTCCATTAAATTAAATCCAATGGAAAACACACGTGTGATCAGTCCTGTCATTCACAGTCATGGTTTAGGAGGGAACAGGAGGAGAGGATGCCAACTGTGAGGGCCTGGAAGTTGGGCTGGGAGCATGTGTGTTAGGGCAGACAGTGGAAAGCCTTCTCCTCCCAGGAGCCCCTGTTCCTCCAGTGCTGTGTACGATGGTGGTGTGCAGAATACCGAGGAGGGTGGGATTAGGCACCACCACAGTCTTTGGGGTGCTATTCCCCACTAACCCGCCATTTTGGATATCGATGGAAAAAGGGATGTAGCACCTTCTCCAAAGCCTGGCTTCTCACTGGACTGATGCTTCTTTCCAATGTTCCTTCTGCCTTCTCTGATGGATAGAACTATTCAGGGAGGTTGGAGACTAATGGTGCCAGCCTAGGAGCAGAAGGACAGCCTTGTGGACCTGCAAGGTGGGAAGAATCCAAGCCACTTTGGCTCCATTCCACCCTCTCTGTAGGTCTACAGAGGGGCTGGAATGTCTGAGGAGCTCCATCTGAGGATAGGACCATCTATGGTAAGACACCATTGTCCTGTTGTTACATGAGCTGTGTTCTGTGACACACCTAGGGACAGCTGTGGTCTTCAAAGTCACCTCAATATGGCTTCCAGTGCAGGTTCTGCCATCTCCTCAGCTCCTGGAGCCAACCCAGATAGAGGGGCTCCTCTTAATCTCTTACAGGTTGAGCCCACCAGCTGATAATTTGTTTTCAGGAGAGAGAGAAGGAGGCTTTACTGTCTCCACCCCTCTCTCCCCAAGTCCACAGTTGCTGTATCCAGAGAAAGGGACCTAGAGGGATGAGGTGGAGCCTCAGAGGGAGTCCAGGTCTCGCTCTGATCTGCAGGATGTTTTGCCTTAGGCCCTACCACTCCTCCAGCCATTGGTTATGCTTTTGGGCTTCCTCCTGCCTTCGAATGTCTCTCAAAGCAGTTGAGATACTTTTGGGGATAGATCCCAACCCTCTTTCGTCTCTCCCTTCCCTCCCAAGTCTGTCCCCTGAAAAAGGCCCACTCTGCAAACAGCATTGATCCCTCTCACAGTGTGGGGCTTATAAACAACTCAAGTCCTTCTGTGGGGGACCCGTGGGTGCCATCTGTCCTCAGGGTTTGGGTGAGTCCAGATCTCACTCCTGTCTTTCCACACAGACTGCTTCACCGGCCCCACCAAACGGAGTCCTCCGTGGTTCCAGGGAAGGGGGCCGGGGTGCTGATTGAAGCTTGGTGGTTGGGAAGAAGCAGGGTGTCTCCTCTGCGTTTCTTCAAGCTACTGATGTGGGGAAGCTGGGGCCCAACTTCCTTTGTGCTCCCTGCCTATGCCTCCTGCCCCCCACCCTGAAGCCCTCCTGACAACACTCCTTTCCTGCTTGGTGATCAGCGCTTCTGGGCTGCCTGGCTACTCCAGGGAGTCACTGTGTTCCAAGCCCAGGTCGCTGACATTCGTTGTCTGCAGCTCATCGGCCTCCTCCTCCAGCTCCTCTTCTTCCTCCTCCTCCTCCATCTCGTCCTCATCCTCTTCTTCTGTCCCATCCAATGAGTCATCATGTGCAGCCATCATAGCCTGCTGCATGGCCATGGTGGCATTGTCTGAGGACAGGGACTGCAGGTTGTCCAAATTGATGGAACCTGCATGAGACAGGGCAAGGGTCATGACTTCACAGAGGCTGTTATTCAGGCCCAGTAACTTCAGTATTGAACAGGGCTGACTAGACTGGCTCATGGGGTCTGAGCTCCTTGTTTCTCTCCTTGAGGGTGGGAGGTACTGGAGATGGAACCCAGGGCTTTGTGCATGCTAGTCAAGCACTCTACCACTATGATACATCTCCCAGTCCTTTGTATTTTATTTTGAGACAGGGTCTTGCTAAGTTGCTGAGGCTGGTCTTGAACTTGTGATCCTCCTGCTCAGTCTTCTAGACACTGGGATTAGAGGTGTGTGACACAATGCCTGGTGAGCTACTTGTTTCTAAGGGTACTCAACCTTTGGCTAGATCATTACTTGGTCAGAAGTCCCCCATCCATTCACTTCAGCTACTCCCTACCTCATTCTAGGCAGAAACACTTGCAGCTTACTATTTACTCATCATCTTCTATGTTAATATGTTAAGAACTTTGGGCTTTCTAACAGTTTTGTAAGGCAGGTATTACCGTCCCCACTCTAAAGAGGGGGAAATGAGCCTCAGAGAGTTAAATCATTAGCTCAAAATGACACAGTCAGCAATGAGAGTTGGGATTGTCTTCCAGATTGGTCTAGCCTAAAATCAGTTTCTTTATACTATAGCTCATAAGAGCCCACAACAATATACATGCATGTATGCACTAAGGCTTGCGTGCACACACGCACACCTCCAACCCACTGCCCACGCAGAGCTATCTTCACATGCCAAGTTCTAAAATGTCTAGCTGATTGAATTATTCATTATGCACTCGGCGACTGGCAATTACAAGAGTGTGTATGGAGGGTGTGATGGAGAAGCTGGGAAAACAAAACTTCTCCTGGCCTCTGTTCACAAGCCAGCTGCCTGCCTTGGTATTTATAGATGGCCTTGGTCTTGGGGATCCACACAGACACAGACTGTGTTGAGGAACTTGGGGAGGTGTGTGGGAGTGAAGAGAGAGCTCTGCTGAGCTGTCACTGACTCAGATGACCACTGACTCCCACACATCTTTGTGAGATCACTTTGAGCTTGTTAAAATGTGTGCCCAAAGCAAGGTGTGGTAGCACAAGACTTTAAGCCCCGTGACTCAGGAGGCTGAAGCAGGAGGATCACAAGTCTGAGGTCAGTCTCCAACTTAGTGAGTCTCAGCTACTTAGTGAGACCCTGTCTCAAAAAATTAAAAAAGGACTGGGGATGTAGCTCAATGTAGCTCAGAGGTAAAGTGTTCCTGGGTCCAAGCCTCAAGACAAAAAAAAAGGCGCAAAAGCATCCTTTCCTTTAAGGCTTTGAAGGAGATCAAGGAAGGCTAATCATTGTGATAGAGCAACAGTAGGGGCCTAGGTAAGGAGACAGTCCTTGAATCTTTGCTTTCCAGGAGCCCCAACCTGCCCCTACCTAGGGTACCATTAGCCCCAGTTTTTACCATCAGGGTTTGTTCCTGGGGCACCACCCTGCTGCTGCAGCACTCCCGCAGCAATGGAGTTGGGCCAGAATCTTTGGGTGGGCCGGTGCTGAGACTTGATCTTCTTGGCTTTGGGGGCAGGGTCTGGGTTACTGGCATCAAGCATGGGCTGCAGGATGCGCCTCCGGGCATTGATGAACCTGCCCAGAGGTAGAGATGGAAAGCTGGTTAGTAGGTGATGTTTGGTGTGGGGCAGAGAAGGCAAAGCTGCTCCCAGATACAATTAGATAGAACAGATGGGGTTTTGATCTAAGGGGTAAAGGCCGAGCAGAGAGAAGAGCTCCACATGTTGAGGAATTCTTAAAATCACCTGGGGCTCGGCAACCAAGAAGCAATATGGGAAGAAAGCCTGAGGAGGATTTTCTCATGAAAATCAAAGGGAGATCAGTAGAGGAAAGGGTCCAAGGGATGGGAGATGGGGAGGGAGGGGGGGAATGCTGGGGAGTGATATGAACCAAATTATGATGTTATGTCATGTATTGTATGCATGTCCGTATTTTAATAACAAATCTCATTATTATGAACAACTCTAATGCACCAATTGAAAAATTGGGGGACGGGTAATCCACCAGGATTGAACAAAGGAGAACAGAGCTGTAGCCATAGGTAGTAACTTCTGACTTTTTCCCAGAGAGCTGAGGGCTTATATCAGGGCCCCAACAATAAAGTCCATTCCCATCCAGCTCAGGCAGATACAGAGAAGGCGAAAGCCAAGATCCCTGTGGTGTCAAAATGGAGACTCTCCCTCCTCCTTGCCACTCCTAATGCTGCAGAATGTTTTAGTTTCAGTTCACACACAGGTGGTGATCAGATGACCACGGGCTGCACCTCCTATCTATATAGATGTCTGTCTCAGCAGTCAGTGGGGCTGGATGCTCAGGTGTGGTTGGGTTTTCTATTCAACAAGGAGCTTCCAGGGATGAGCCTGGCACAATTTCCCAGCAGAGGGCGCTGAGAAGCTGCAGATGAAGCCATGGGTACTGGTGTTGATTCTGGCTCTCTGCATTTAGTTCCAATGGGAGGAGGACTGGCCTGGCAGCCGGGCTGAGACTGAGGCAGGTCTGGGCTTTCTATCTCTTTTCCCTTGCCAAGCATGTGGCCCCAGGTCCCGGAGGCTTTGGGCAGGTGATGCTAACTCACCAGTTGTTTACTTGCAGGAGGGTGAGGTTTGTCTGGGCTGCGATCTGCCTCTTCTCATCCTCCGTGGGGTAGGGGTGCTGAAATGAGAGGTGAAGGGCTAATGAGGGATGGGCACCTGGGGGCCAGGTTCCCTAGAGACCATGCCTAAGTCTTGGACACAGTCTTGGGCCAGTTGTTTGGAAGCCCAAACAGGGGAAAGTTTATTTCCCCAAAGACAGTGAGCGGGCCTAGGATTTGGCCAGAGGCTAAGCCATGCCTAAGGCTCCACATTCAGAACCACCTGGGCCTCAGCCCCTCAACGGGTAGCAGGAATCAGTGCAATACTGATAACTTCCGAGGCACCTTCACATCCTTGTCACTTGATTCAGCAGACAAGCAGGCATTCTCAGTGCTGGGATTTACAATGCCCTTAAAAGCCCACAAAAGGTGGTAAGCTGGGTGAATGAATCGATTCAGTTTAAACTAGCTGATATTTACTGAATATCTATTATGCCTACTTGTGCTAGGCATTCTTAGAAGATAAACATATTGCTAACACTATTGGCTTAGGACTCTATAGCCTGTGAAATGCTTTCATGTGCTTAATTTCTTTTAGGCAAGCCTTTCATTCAAACTGTCAGCTAGATAGGTTAGGTATTGGTATTCCCATTTTTTATATTCATTTTTTTTAGTTGTAGCTGGACACAATACCTTTATTTATTTATTTATTTTTAATGTGGTGCTGAGGATCAAACCCAGGGCCTAGCACGTGCTAGGCGAGTGCTCTACCACTGAGTCACAACCCCAGCCCTTGGTATTCCCATTTTGTAGATGCAGAAATGGAATGACTCCTGCCCTGTCACTCAAATGGTAGATACCACTGACTTAGTTCTTCTGATTGTGGCCTGGTCTTCTTCAGAATGTCACTTTGTAAAACTGAGTCACTGTCTTGTGGAGGCGGCAAGTGGCACAGGTGTCTTGCATAGTCTTGGCACACTCCAGTCCATGCATTGACTATATGTTTGCTCCTTCTCTTAGATTGTACTTCTTGAGGATGAAATGTATATTTACTAGTGTGTCCCCAGCATCTTGCACATATAAATGACTGCTGAGTGAAGGAGAGCAAAAACATAGCAATAGTTGCTGTGATTTGGGAAATTTGCAGTACAGAAGCTTGGAGAAAGGATAAACAGGTGGTGGCCAGAGTGATAGGGAAAGACTGGGTCATATTAAATAATGGGAGGGAGAAAAGTCCTGAGCCCACTTAATGGTGAGCCACAGATGACGAAGGCTATGTGTCTCTGGGTCTCAGCACTGTGCCTGGCACCAGTAGGCATCATAAGTATCCAAATGGGTAAGAGTTTTGGTCTGGGACTAGGAGTGACCTGGGGGCTTTTGGAGCAGAGGACCAAGCCATCCAGCATCCGCAAACCATATCATTCCTTTAAATTGGGCTGGTAATAGAAAGTGGTACTAGGGTTTTCTGAAGTCCTCAAGATTGGGACTTACAACTTGGTTCCCTTATGACTAGCTGTGAGATCTCCAGCAAGTCACACAACCATACAGCATAAAGTCACCTAATGGCTAGGTGAAATGTTATTTGTAAAGCACTCGATAAAAGGTAGCTCTTCATACTATATTATGGGGTGATGTGGGGAAAGTGTCTAAAGCTCTCTAAGGAAAGAGTTTGAGGATGTGAGGGCGATCTGCCTGCGACATCTGTCACCCCACTGATTGCCAGGTTTGATTTGGCTGATCTGGCTGGCTAGGTGGGTGCCCCCTTCCTCCTTCACAGCTCCATGTGCGTCCCTCCTGAAGCTGCACGCTTGGTTGAAGAGGATTTACCTTCCCCCACAGAGGAGGACCATTCTTCGGTCAAGGGTATACAAGTAGCTGTGCTCCCCTGCTAGAACCTCCAAACAAGCTCTCAAAGAGTTTGAGATCAACAGCTTGGAAGTACTTTTATTATCAGTGACAAAGGAAAGCAACCTCTTCAGTTGGCCTCGAATCCCCTGACTGAAGCAATTGGGATCATGTGTTGTTTTAATTCACACCTCTGACCCTGACTGCCACACCAGGGCAGCTGCGACTTGTGATTCATGCAATATTAAGATGCTAACAAGAAGTAAAGCACATCAGTGTTAAGGAAGCCAATTTCATGCTAATTGGGAAGGAGAGAGGGAGGCTGGGAGGAGAGACTTCAGGCCCCACAGGGTAGGGAAGCAGGGATTCTGGGAGTTTTGACATTCAGAGACTGAGGGGTGCTCATGTCCTACCCCCAGCTCCGTGCGTTTCCAACTTTCCTATCTTTGGGAAGGAATGAAGCAGCTTCCCTATCCATGGCCATCAGATCTGTGAATAAATGTGTCCCCTCTCATTATCTACAGGGATTGGTTCCAAGACTCCCACAAGTACCAAAATTCATGGAAATGCTCAAGTCCCTAATATAAAATGATAGAATATTTGCTCAGAATTTGTACACATTCTCCCATTTACTTTAAACCATTTCTGGATTACTTACAAAACCTTATTCAATGCTACATAAATAGTTGTTGACACCATATTGTTTAGGGAATAATGACAAGGAAAAAATTTGTACATGCTCAGTATAGACACAGTTTTTTTCAAATATTTTCAATTCATAGTTCATTGAATCCATGGATACAGATCCTGAAGACACAAATGCTGACCGTAGGACAAAAATACAGAAGTGACTTTTGGGCTTTCACGCCATGTACATGCAGAACCCTCACTGGAAGGCTTTTCTGCCTTTCCACTGCAAGCTTTTCTGAGCTTCCAGAAAAATCTCTCACAGGTCAAAGCCTCCTTTCCCAACTCCCTGATGCAGAGCCAGTCACTGCTGCTCTGAATCAGTGCACCAAGCACCCTACAGGTAATGTATTCTCTCCCAGGAGCCCATGAGCTGCTCTCAGGCAAGACCAGGTCTCATTAGACATTGTCTCTCCAGTGTCCAGATCAGTGATGGGCAGAGAGGTCATGTTCAGCAATGAGGTATTAACACATGCGCCAGTGAACACAAGAAGGAGATGTAGACTTGTTTCCTGAGCAAGGCTTGCCTGGCCTTGATGACCAAGCTGGGTCATCAACTCAGACAGGTTGGATATCTGCTGCACCTTAGGTGCCAGAAGGGAAAGATATTTGACATTCAGAGCTCACAACTTAGATGGGAAGGGAAAAGGGGTGGGGAGACATCTCTATCATTAACTGTCATTCATGCTAAATACTCCTTGGGTGGTTACAAAAAAAAAAATAAAAAAAGGTAGGTTGGACTGGTCCAGAGAGGTGAGACCTGAATTGGACTTTGAAGAGTGGCCAAACCATTCAAGTAGAGGAGGGGGGCAGTATTCCAGGCAGGAGGCTTGTACTGGGACTTAAACCAGTCAGTTGACAATCCCTTCCATTGTTAAAGGAACCCAAAGGGGGAAGTCCCCAAGCCTTCCCTGGAAGGATGGATGATGTTTGCTGTCTCTAAGGAGGCTTCTGGTGCTTTCCCCATTGAGTGGATGTCACACCCAAGTTAACATACACCTGTCTCACAGAGAGCTGTAAGAGGCAGTGCCACCAAAGACTGGCTAGTTACTCTTATGGATAAGGGTGTAAACCTCTTACTATCCCCTAGAACAGTCTCCTCTCCCTCTGCTTCCTGGATCCAGCATTTCAGGAGGCACGTGGTGGAGGCTGTGGGTGAGTAGCAGCATTTAGCCCAGCCTTGGGAACAGGTGTGTCGGCCAGAACATTCCTGGCTCCACTTCTGAGTGCTGATGGGAGCAGTCCAGCTCATACGCGCCTCAGACCACATGATTCCTGAGGACAGAGTCAAAATAGTCCTGGCCCTGGGACAGACTGTGATTGGGTCAGTGCTACTTTTAGCACAATTGGAAAAGTCTGGGGCCAAGAATGGGAAGAGGAATGAAATGAGATCATGGTAAGCCATTAAGCCATGGTAGCTGCTCTCTGATCATCAGTTGGAGGAACTCCTTTGGAGATGGATGGGAAGGACCCAGGTAGCAGTTCTCTGTAAGCAAGTGATTCGTCCTTGGAAAAGAGGTACAGAACATACTAGAAAACTCCAGATCCTTCTAGGGCCAACCTGAAGACTCCCATGGCTGGGCAGTGCCACTTGGCAGTAAAGAGTCTTTGGAGATGGGTTTAAGACCTGCCCCCACCTTCTGGCTATTTGTTGCTTTATGTCTTCCAAACTTAGCTTTCTCAGCTTAACTTGGAAATAGCAAAATAATGCGCATCTCTGGATTTGAGGGATGACTTAATGAGATGACGCAGAGCGCATACATTCTATTGATTCACTCTGTGCAATGTACCGAAGCCTCCCTGACACCGTCTAGTTGAATATTTAAGGTCTTCAGAGCAGAGAAATGTAGTATTTATATCAAGTAGGTGTTTCAATGCACCATGGTCGGCACTAGGAAGTTCCTCTGCAATCTAACCTAAATTCCTTCCCAGATTTCTGTGACACCTCCCTCTATAGCTCTATAACCTGAGTCTCATCTGGGCTCAGATGACGCTGAGAACAGTTTTCAGTTTGAAGAGTGAGTTTTTCCTGAGTCTGGTCAGAAGTGAGCTTAGCTTGCGCTGGTTCCTAGGTCTCTGGCTACATTTTTCATCAACACCCACCCTGAGGTTGTCCTTCCACATCCTAGTCCATGCAAGTACCACCACAAGGCTGGCCAGGTCACCAAGGGGCATGGTACATAGGAAGCAGTAGCCTGTAGGTATCAGTAGCCCCTGTGTTACTGCTGGAGCAGGGCTTGGAATCTGATTCAGAACAGGGAACCTCCTGCTCCCATGGCCTGCCACCGCCAGCTCTGCTCTGGGTCCACTGCTCCTGTGGGGGCCACAGGCTGCTGTGTGCCATCACTCTGTGAGCATGGCTCTGCTAATGAGGGGCTTGAGACCATCTAGAGAAGGGCAGCCAGCTGGGGGAGGGGCTCTGAGATGGCCACAAGTCATCACATCCAGGATGCCAATGATTTGGGATGCATTCTGAGTTCTAAGATGCTAAAATGGAAAAAGCAAACCTTTTTAGAAGAAAGAAAAGCATAATTATTCACCCATAGAA